TGATTGGAAACAGCATTCATAGATGCTACAGCCAAACGATCACCTTGTATACGAGAGACCCCATGGAGGATTGCAGGCTGTAACCGCGTAGGAGGACCACAGGGTGATCCAGCTTCACACTGCACCAGGGGGTTCTGGGCTGAATCTTGGCCTCCCTGGCAAATACCACTTCAAAATCAAATTCCCTCATGTGGAGCCGAAATACTGTATGCAGTAGTAGGTTCTGGGCAGATACTCTTTAGGTGACGTGCACATACCGAATAGTGGAAGTGATAATGGTGGAGAAGGTGTCCTAGAAGTAAGACAGTTCTCGGCGGTTTTCTTGGATTTGATCATGAAATGATAAATGAGATGGATCATGATGAATGATTTCAGAGAGCTCTTATTGCAGTGTCTTTTAGTGCCTTGGTTTCTGCAATTTGGGAAAAAAAAAGTTTTAAGTTTAATTTCTCTTTTAAAAAGCCTGCTGTACGCCTGCTTTCTTTTAAAAGGCAGGAGTCCATGAATAGCTTTATCATATATAATACAAGGGTCTGTAGTTGCTACTTATCACATTCACCCTGATTATGTAAAACTGAAAATCACTGCATTCCAATGAAGTTTCAATGTTTTTATTCAAAGCAGCTTCTCACAATGTATAAATACTGCATATTAACACACATGAAAAATACAACTTCTAAGGCACCCAGAAATGTGTCCATACACTAGTTACAGGACCATCAACAAATAAATTGTGTACAATTTGATCTAGACAGTCAATATTTGATATATCAGAGGATACAAGTCCCTCATTACTGTACCAGTTTCAGAAAATATTTACAACACTGTGACATAGGGGTGCCTGTACCCTTATAATATTATAATATGTACTCATCATTACAAATATTAGAAACTGTTTTAGTCTGTTCCATGGCGTTCTGACAAAATAACTTAAGGGCCTAATTTGCAAAGTTCTACAATTAATTATTTGTGCAAGTTCTGAAAATAAATTTACATTGACATAATTTGTGAATTTTTGGTTCTTTGCTTCATCTCAGAGGTTTGGTAATAAGCCTTACCAATAGACATGCCATCCTAGCTGAACGTCACTCCTTTCCCAGTAGGTCAGTGGATACATCTTTTCCCCTTACACTTGACATGGATGAGAATGCAGTGTTTGTAGCAGAAAGAGACTATTCGATCTTCAGTACAAATGTCAAACTAGTTCACTGGCGAAGGAACTAATGCTTTGTTAGAATAATGCAATTCTTTGGTCCTTTGTTTTTATGGAAGGCATAATATTTTTATTCACTAAAAATTGAAATCCTGTCTGTGAGTAAGCAAGCTAGTGAATGACTTTCAGTGTAGTATTTAAAGTAGCAGTAAAGAGATTTAATATGGCTTAAAACATACGGTTAATTGGGCGGACACAGATAACACATCTAGGATACCGAGTACCCAAATGTACTATGATTAAGATTGTCTATAAGTCTCTTATGTAAACTTCTTTAGTGTCTCCTAAAGAGCGCTGGCTTTAGCCAGATTTGACTTTTATAGACCCAGCCACACAAAGCCTGAGATTAAACTACTGTGGTTGGGAGCACAAATGCACAGTTTATATATAACAAAGCCCATGCTGACAAGTCTACCTATGTTGTTCAAAAGAAACAACCCGTATTATCCTTTTCACAAGAAAAACTTAAGGCCCTGTACTCTGATTTGCTAACTTTCTTACAGCAACTATTTGGGGAAGTCCTTAGTACTACATAAGCAATTATGTAGCTTTAAAGATTTCTTGTACCTAATGGTAAGGCTTATTCACAAATGCAATACATTTATAAATTACATTTAAAACTGTAAAGGCTGGCAAAATAATTAAAAAAAAAACAAAAAAACAAACCCCAACCAAAATTGTCTGTTTATCCCTAACATTAAAAGAGCATTTTATTCTAATGAAAAACTATTGGCACAAAACCATTATATTATAGATTAAAAGAACAGTTAATAGTAGTGAAAAAGATTGCCTAAAACGCATACCCTAACCTACCACAGAAATATAAAAGTTTATATTCTGAAAATATATACTGTATTAAAGTTTGTAAGCTTATTCATTTAAACAGAAATGTACTGAAATAGTAAACTAAGCAACACTTATCTACAGCAAAAATATACATGCAGGACAACACAAAATAAATTGCTTACCTTTAATATCTACAAATGCGAAACTGTAGATTTTTAAAGATTGTACAAAACAATTTACACAAGAATAAAATAACATACTTAACAACAAATTGCATTTATAATCTTAAATACTGTGAATATTAGTAAAGGTACCCAGACTAATATGTACAGTACATCTAGATATCTGAATACCTAGTAAGGACAGAAACACAAGAGAAAATTGATTCTGATCTTTAAATACTGGAAAAGAAGCTTTTGACGTTATTACTCTTTATTGAAGGGAAAATAGATTCCATGAAAACTAGATTGTAACTGTATAGATATGAATAATTAAAAATGTTAACTATGGTTAGCGCTTGCTTTAATGGAAAAATAATTATAGAAAATGTATTTCAACCATTCCTTTGTCATAAAAAATGCTAAGATACAGATATCTGAAAATTCAGATGAAATGATGCAGTTTAAAGGTCTAACAACTTACGATTCTTCTCTGTTTGAAAATCTCATATGGAAAGCATACCTTCACATTGCTGAGCAATTTTTCTATATTTATCTACAAAAACCAAGCATAGTATTGAAATAAACTTTCTAGTATCTTATTAACACATGACTAGGAGTTATGGCTCTCTGGACGGGAATAAAGGAAATCAAGGAAATTGAGGAATCATGGTGCTTTCCATTGCTTGCTTTTTTTTTTCTTTTTTTTTTCTGAAGTCGTATGCTGGAGGCCGCGATTGTGCAAACACGTATGCATGTGAGTGGCTTTCACTTGAGGAATCCCTCTGATTTAATGGGACTGCCCTGCCGGTGACTCCCCTGCGCACCCGGGCACAGCAGGGGGTCCCGCGGCCTCCGCCAGCCAAGTCTTGGCACGTGCGCTCTGCGGCATTGCTGGCAGGTTGTGGAAATAAGCATCGGTATAAAACAAGTGGTGCATCTGTCACTTCAAATAGTTATTGAAAGCGTTCTGTTTCAGACATTTAAAAATACGTTACTTCTTTTGATAAGTTTTTTTTTTTTGAGAACATTTAAAACAGGCTAATTAGAAGCCAGATTTTGTCTTTTCAATGAAGACTTTCCATGATAACTTCTGCCTTTAGGATAATGATTTCCTTAAAATTCAGTGATACAATTAGGCCATAGAAACAGCACTTCTAATTAGTTGTGGGGGGGAAAAAGTAATATTCGTGTGTTGAAGGCTACTGTTTACTATAATCACCCGTTCGTTAACTTTACAAAGGCTTTGTTGAAACTCTTCACGGAAATACTGGGAGGGAGAAAACCTAGCAGCCTCGTTTGCAGAGGTTTAAACCATGATGAAGTCACTGAGCTCAAGGATGGAGAGCAAGTGCACAAATTACAAAGCAAACAAATGTGCAAAGCTTCTGCTTCAAGAGGTTCTAATTCGGGCATACTAAAGTGGCAGGTGAAGTCACAGAGCATGCTTGTGTCATTTCCATATTAATTGCCTTACTAGCAAGAAAGAACTGAGAGAGATCCAGTGTTCAGAAGTCAGTCAGTGTCACTGAAAAGTACTAGGATCACATTCTAAATTAGCAGATTGGATTTTTGTCATTTATTGTGGACTGCTTTTATGGATAGCCCTAAGTTCTTGTAGCAGGTGGTGGGGTGGCCAGATGTGGAGAGCTGGGAAAAGCAAAACAAAACCTTTCCCTGCACTTAGTTCAATACCTAGCACCTTGTATAAACGGTTGGCCCACACCCAAAGGCCTCCAGAGCAGAAATTTTCTCACACCTGAGGAATCAGGCAACTAGACTAAGGCTCATAAGGGTTTGCTTTTAGACTTCAGACCAGAAGGGGATGGCTAAACCTGAAAAACAGTACGATGCCACAGAACGGCACCACTCACCCTGTTACTGACATCCGGCTAACAGGGATATAGTAAACTTAAATAAAGAAGCGTCTTGTTGGCAAGCCCTTCAATGCTCCTCAAGAAGGCAGAAAGTGAAGGGAGACTTAGGGGGAACGCACTGTTTCAGAATCCACTTTTTTTCCCTTAACCCTGGCAAATGAATCTATTTCATACATGTTTTGTACAATTTTGCACATAGAGGAGCATGCACGTGGCTGTTTCTTTTACTGCCCACAGCATTCTGTGTGTTTTCTACATATTCTTTGCTTTTCTACACAATTCGCTGCTAAAAATGTGTTGGCATTCTCATGTGATGCCATTAATTCAGTCAAGGGAAGTATGAAAATAAGATCTGTGATCAATAAACAGCTGGATATGAACACAAAATAAATAAGTTAAATAAATTCAACAAAGAAAAAAATCCTAGTAGTTTTTGTAAAACTAACTTTACATATTATACATATAAATTATCAGATTTTTCCATTACACTGTTAGAACTTCAAAAAAATAATTAAGATATTTCTAAAGTATGGTGTTTGCGTCTACAAAATACCGTGCTGACCCAGTTTTTAGATTGAGCCCTCTATGTCAGCCCAGCTGCGTTGCAACAGCAAGAATAAGTTAAGAAGGACAGACAAAATAAATCATTACAGATGGTGTGCCTTATTGGGCCTCAGTGGTGCTTCTCAGCACATGGAATGTATACTTTTATCTGGATGAGCATGTGAAAGATGCAGCCCTCTGTAGAGATTACGTGCACTGAACAAGCCTGCCTACATCTCGGTTACACAAAATCAAACCAGCTACAAGCAGCCGTGTAGCTCACAAGGAAATCGACACAACCATATGTATTAGGATACACTGTCACAAATTCCTCAATGATGCATTGCCTCTGCTTTTCAAACACAGGTAATGTTTCACTCTGTTCACAAGTGGAGCATTTTCTCTTCAAGTTAGGCCAAGACATCAGACTTCATAAATTTTGTCTTGCAAGTAGCTGAATAATGAATCCAGTCCTTTGGAAGAACTCCACAGCTGTTTTAACATCTGACACTATTTCTCATTCACATCTTCAAGTCCGGATTTCAGGAAGCTCCGCACGAGACATTTGGACTCTTCCAATACCTAAAGCCAAAATACCACTCAGCATTTTAGTTGGAATCTGACAAAATTATTATGGATAATGGCGTGAACAGCATTTTTACACTACTGACTCTGTTTTACAATCTAAATAACTCCTTTGGGCACAGAAATTAGATCTGATTTACGGCCATCACTCCACTTGCTGATAGTCAGCATTTTTAAGAATTAAGGACTTCTGAGGTTTATGCCTTAGTGCCAACGTTTTTAAAAGGAATGAGGGATTCTGAAGTACCTTAGTTTATTGAAGGTCTGCCATGAAGCACTAGAAGGAGCTGAACTCCCTCCTGTTGAAAATGTGACCCCTTGAAATGAAAATGTGTGAGGCATGATGTATTGGCTACTTGTTTTCTCGAAGGTAGTCTTTAAGGTTATAGGGGTTGGAAACCCAAATGTGGACGTCCACCATCTTTAACAATTTTCCCTCATGCATCATTTCCTTATCAAAACAGAAATGAAGAGGAAAGGGCCTTTCCTGCAAATACCTTTTTAAGTTTATTTACTTACATTTTTATAGAAATGAAATATTTTATAAAAGAAGGGTGTTAAGCAAAACAAGCACCCTCTGACTGTGTTCTGGAGTTAGATTTGCTTAGCATAGACAAGCAGTCATAAAAAATCACCTAAGGTTTTTACAATGGAAAGCCCAACCTCAAGCCCTTGGGAATCGCTCTATGTTCTTAAAGGCATGAACAGCAGGTCCAGGGTTGCTCCTGTAGTTCAGCTCCTTTTTCCCAGACCCATTTTTAGACAGATTGGGATTGCCTTCTTTAAACTTCTTTTTGAAATACATAACACCAGTATGTATCTCACAAGGAACCCAATTAGTCAAACAAAACCATTAATAGTTCATTGATTTTTGGGGAGCAGAAGACTTAATGTAAACTGATACAGTGTTTATGGTAAGGCAGACGTATACTCTCCACTCAGCTTTGTCAGCACCTACATACTAAGCCCAGTTTCTATCTTACACTGCTATTCCAACATAGTATTTCTCTTTAACTCAAGTAAATGGTGTTAACTGCAATTCGCGGGGCCTGTGTGGGTTTTTTTTGGTCTGTTTGTGACCAAGTATCCGCAGTGAACTTGGATGAGCTCATCATATGCATTGTTTTTGTGACTTCAGCCTGATTTGCATTTAGGATCTCAGAGAGTACATCTAGTCTTTGACGGTTTTAACTCTCGTCTCTGTCCACAAGTTAGCACCAGTCTTCCTAACAGGTCTCAAGAGAAAATGTCATTGGCAGCCAATAACGGTGACGGAAGGAAGAATTCACAGTAAGGTCCAGAGGTTTCCTGAACTCATATAATACATGCTATATCAGCATGATCAAATAAGCTTATGCTACATTTCCAGAGAGTTTCATTCTGAATGTCTTTCGTGAGTTCTAATCTACACTTCATTTAATTAAAAATCTCCTGTGTCTCTACCTTCTCTTTTACAACAGATCTTTTAAATGAAACCGAGGGATGCTAAGACAGTTTCAGGCATAGAAAGCATAGCAAGAAACCGAAACAATTTGCAGTTTAGTTAGTGCAGTCCTATTGCAGCCAGTGTCACTTTCTTCACTGCTTTTTTTTTAAACAAAGATGTGCCCAGAATAGGAGTGTATCTGCCTGAAGGGAAAAAAACCTTAGGAAGTAAAAATAGGAAAGGATTTTCTTTCAACTTCTACGTACACAAGAGGAAAGTTATAATACACTGTGACCAGACTGCGTTCAGATCCCTCTGTGTCTGGATCTCACCTCTCCTTCACAGCAGAGGTTAGCTGGCACTATCCTACCCTTCTGGTGCACTGTGTAGAACATTTTGCAGAGTCAGGAACTACGCAGGTGCAGAAAAGAAGGCAGAGTCAGCTGAATCATAGTAGGCCAGGACAACGTGAAAGGCAAATACATTTTCTTACTGGCCCTACAGAGATTTCCCAGTACAGTTGTATAGTTTTAGACTCTTCCACCTTCATGAAGGAAACCTATGCTAAAATCCCCTTCCAAAATCTGGGGCAAGGAGGTTCCACTCATACTGAATAAATGTGAAGATGGGGAAAGGAAACAACCCTCCCTGCCACTGAAAAATGGGAAACCCCACGAGCTTGCTGATCCCTATCCGGATTCTTATTAGCCCTCTTCTAACAACAGATCTGTTGTTAGCCCTCTTCCACAGGTATCGTTGTGGAACCTGAGGACCTACCACGTGACGAGCCTTGGGAGCACACCTTGCCTGCGTGAAATGTGATTTAATCACAAAAGAGCTTGATTTCTTACCACTGCACTGCAGGACGCCATTTCTTTCACTCGTAGCATCACTTCTTGGCTAAATGTTGTTGGCCAAAATACTTGTGACACTAGTCCTCTGCTGCAGGCTTCCTGTGCTGTCAGCTTTCTTCCACAGAACAACATTTCATTTGCCTGTGAAACCAAAAGATTACTTGTGATCTTGGGTTATAATTCCCTTAAAAAAATTTCCGTACTTGCCTGCTATTTTCAAGATTAAATTTACGAATGGTCTCCTGTATCTTTCCATACTGCAAAACACTTAAAAAGGAGTTTTGGTAGCTATTCAAGGATTGTGCAGGTGGCCAGAGCACAGCATGGGCTTCATTTAAGAGAAATGTGCTGGCATGCATGATGAATCTGTATTGCTGATTTTACAAGAGTAACTGTCAGTGATACAGTGATACTGTGCCAAGAGTCATGCAACCTAGTATGAGAGACTTTGTGGGGCAAATTCTGCTTTGTTATACTGGTAAAAACTAAGCAACCTTACTGGAATTAGTATAGATGATTGTCTTTAGAGAGCAGAGAGCACTATCTTGCTCTGTTACTGCACAATCCTAACACAATACAGACAAAGCCTCTGCAACATCATTCTGCTAATGCATTTCTTCCCTTTTCTACCATGATCTTGACAATCTTTGCTTTTTCAACCTGTGTTCAATCTTTCTTGTGTACAGTGTGTGTAATATATTGAATTCCGAGGTCATTTGGTGATAAGAAATTGGTAGGGATTAGATGAACTTTCCACAGATTTCATTTCTGTTCACGACAATTAAGAGAAACAGTTGGTTTCTCTTTTACGTTTTAAAGAGAGAAAGAAGAGCATGAATGTAAGAAAGGTTCATCAGCAATTTGAGGTGGAAAACCTTACCAGTGCAACACCCAGAATTTGTGGGAATGTGTATGATGAGCAGCCAGCTGGAGTGAGTCGGATTGTTGCATATGGTGTCTGAAACCATGCCTTCTCACTTGCCCAAACGATATCACATAGTGGTAAAATAGAAGCTCCTAGCCCAAGAGCAGGGCCGTTGATAGCAACCACAATTGGCTTCTTAAATTGAATAAAAGCTTTTACAAAATCCCTAAAATAAAAAATAAAAGAAAAATCTTGAATACAGAAGTAACACTTAGATAAATACCGAAGCTTAAAGTACTTAATCTGAAAACAAATTAGAACCACAGATGAACACAATAAATGCCATGGCCCAGTTTTATGAGGTCCGAATTGCAAGATACTTTCTAGTTTGCACATGGAAAATTTTGCTTATATTTAGTTATTTAATCTTCCTGAGTACCTGGGATATTAAATAATTTTGTATATGTTGTATATGAACTGATTAATTGGAATGCACCGACTGTTGTACTTTTTGGAGAATGGTTTGGTTAGGTTAGGTTTAGTTTTACTTCTGGACCAGTAACTCATGAGTTTGTACACATAGCGCTTCTCAGTTTGCTCCACAATGGCTAGTATGGATTCTGACGATCTGGTTTGGCTAACTTGATGAACATATTGTAGCGTGAAAGACAAGAAACTCATAGGTGGATTGCTGAATATTTATTTTTTTCAAAAAGTTCTCTTAAGATCCTGCGTCAAAGGTTACTGCAAGTCCCATCAGTGGATTGGGAGATAGTAAATGTTTATGGCACACCAGCGGAAAGAACGAGACCCACAAAGGGGAGTCAGATAGAGAGAGAAATGTTTGAACAGGGAAAGAATTAGGTGAGTGATCTGTTGGGTCTTCATTGCAAACGTCTTCGGGAAAGACATCACAAAGCAGATGCCCTTGCCTGCCTACAACAGTAATGTGAAGTGATGGGAAATAATGGGGAAGTAAATGTGATCGGATTCATCTGGATGAATGAACTAGAACATGTTAAATTCTGTGCAATGAGGAGATATTTTAAATAAATTACCTACCAGCAACTGTGGAAAGACATCTGTTGAATGGAACAGCCTATACACCAGTTAGGAAAAAGCATGAATGTAATTGTGGGCAAATTATGGGCTCTAGCAGCTCAGTGCACAGCAGGTATATGGAGGCAAACAAGATGCTCAATTTCTTTAGAAAAGAGACATGTATAAATCAGATTCAAAACAAAAGAGGAGATTCTGCTCCTGCACTGGGTATTTATTAGACCCAGAGTGCATCCTTGCTGACAGATTTTAGGAAAGAACATTTTGTCAAACCTGCCCTTTGATGAGTTGCAGCTCTCCCACTGAGGTCAAGAAGACCTAGACTTCAGTATCTGAGAACAGGAGGTGTGCCTTGCAGGTTAGAGTGCCGATTTGGCAAAAAATGGAAAACGTACCAAAGATAAGTATTTTACTGGACTGAAGTGTAAGGGCATTGGCTATATTTTAAATGAAAACGAAGAGTCTGAGGTGAGCCAGCATTAAATATTCCATGAATGAGTTCTGTTTTCCAGGCTAGCTAGTAAAGAGTTGATTTTTTGACCTTGGGAAAATAGAGACTCATGGGAATCGATGCAGCTCTGTTCACACAGCAAGTAACAGAAGATCAGAGGCAAGACAAAGAGAGTGAAATAAGGAACATCATATTCGTCTGTTCAAGATCATTTCTTTCTAGAAGATAGCAGGGTTAAGGAGAGTTGTGGTTCATTTTTGTTTGCAGAAGCAATGCTGTTACCTTATCTCGTTATTTCTTCGGTTGTTTATGGCTGAGTAAGGACTGTGGATCACTGCACCTGAGGGAGTCCAAAATTTTGAGAACCTTAGTATTTAAGCAAGTAAGCCTTCCAAGTAGGACTAGAGATGGGAACAGGGATGTGATGAATGATAGGCAAAACGAACAAACTATGGATAAATGGTGGCAGCAGATCTGAGGACCATGTGGCAGCAGAAAAAAACTGTTGTGGAGAAAAGCAGGAAGCATGTGGTGATAAATGGGACTGGAAGTGAATATGGAAAAGCAATTAGGGATGTGGGGAGGAAACGGTTAGATGATGAGGAGGAAGAACAAAGCAGAACACATTAATGGAGGGCAAGAGTTGAAGGAAATGTGAAATCCTCATATGAGTAAGCAAGGAAGGGAGGACCTGGAGATGGGGAGAGAGTGGACCAGAACACTGAGAAGACACAATGACCCTCTGTCATGAGGGAAGGATGGGGAGCACAGAGGATGGTACAATGGATGGATATGGAACATGCCACCTATAGGATGGAGTGGAAGGCTACAATACTGGGAGCTTAGGAGGGGAACAAATGCCTGCATTTGGTCTACAGAAGCTGCAGTGTCCAGCACTGCACTTATCTGTGTTCCCTGTTTGGTACATTATTTGTTTCAGTGAGTTGTCTTTGTACCCAAGCCTGGCATGTTTCTACCTCTTCAAACCATACTGTTCACACATGCAGTTTCTGGGCTAGAAGATACTTGTTTCAATTCAAGGCAGTCTTTGAAAAGGACTTAAAGTTGTAACTGTTGTTGCACAGTAGAGCCAGAAGCTCAAAGATAGGAAAAAGTGTCACATGCAGAAGGCTTTTGGTTTTGCTAGAGGATATCTAGGAAGTTGACCATCAGATAAATTTTGGGATGCTCAGATACCTCCGCATTGTTGCGGAGGTCTTGCTGCAGGTCAGGGCTCATAAGTACATCAAGGCTATAAAGACGTCGAACAAGTAAAGTCATCCTTCTTTGTTTTCTTCTGAGCACACCCAGAATTTTATATGTATCGGGTCACATAATGATGCCTGAGTAATGATGTGAGACTGATGCTGGGAATGCCTTCCAGGCAGTCTTTTGATTGCAGAGCTCTGTAGGCCACATATGCACAGTTGCAGTGCAGTCTGTCTGTCCGCCTTCTCCCTGCTCCAGGAGCGCAATGCCGGACACACATCTGGATGATGGCAGCTCAGGCTGATGGATCTATGTTCAGTACCTGGAGAGAAGCTACAGTGCCACACATCTGTGAGTTGCAAGCCCCAAAGGCAGTGGATGAGGACAGGGGCCAAATGAATAAATCATTCATGTGAGATGAGACTTGATGGGTATTTAAACTTCAGTTTTAACTTGTGATCAGTATACGAGATCCATACTTTAGAAAGTGGAAACACACAGTAATCAAGATTTTAATTCCATTTTGATACAAGTCTAACTTGATGTAGTAGTGGAGGCAGAGGTCCGTTACTGTGTTTTAGGACACCCTAACCATTGAAAAAGCAAAGTGTACATTTTTTTCTACTCTTATTACAGTATATTTTCCATGAGTTGAGTCCTTTGTTCACAGAAAGCACAGAGTGCGCTAAATGGAAAGCGTATTGTTTCCAGAAGTACAATAAAAATCTATTTCCAGTGGGCCTGAAGCCGACATTCTTGACAAGGAGCAGTACATTGTACCAGTATTTCAGGAATATTCTGTGAGTCCAAGGATGGAAAAACTGAGTATCATAGTCTGGCTTATACTCATTTAAGTGTTGAATTGATAAGTATACCTGTATATTAAATGTGTGTAGATAAATGTATACATATATAACAATACGTATCTACACAATATTTAGATGAATAATATTAAATTTGTATCTTCTAATGGAGTGTGAGTGTGCCTGTGTTTTCAGACAAGAATAGTGATTTTCTTCCCTCACGTTTTATTTGGTTCCACGTTATTAAAAAACCCTCACATTAAAAACAAGAAATTAGGATGTGTCCTTCAAAGGGTTTTTCATTTTTTAAATATCACTACGTGATATTCAAGCATAGCTAGAGTCTTAAAAACACATAATAATTTATTATATTTAAGAAGTACATTTTAAATTCTTTCAAAATAATTACTGCTTTGAGAATTTCCGAAGTATTAAACTGAGAATCCAAACTGATCTGCAGTAGTTGTAACCAAGATAATTGGTGATTAATACATGTCACGCAGTAACTAAACCTGATCTTATGTTATATTAATATATCCAAAATATAGATCTGTTGCAAAACAAATTCTTTAATATTCCTTCATAGAACTGTTGCATAAAGCTTTAAAGCTCTCAGAAGCATAATATTTATTCGTAGGAAGTGGGGGAGAAAAAAAGGGACCAAACCCTCTCCTGGTATAGACTGGTGAAATATCATTGGCTTTAGTGGAGTAATGTTGATTTATACTGGAAGATCTGCCAAATAAGTATAAAGTATACCTTGTGGATAATGGAAATATTTGGTGATGTATTGTGCAGATTGATTTGTAGACTGCGTGTCATAAGCCCTGGATTTCTATTAAGGTAATGTGATACATATAAGGAAAGTCACATTTTAGTTATGAAAATAAAACTACATTTACATATATATTAAGTAATTTAAGTTTAAGAAAAAGAATGGAGACCCTTCTAATAAGGTTCTGAAATACAGTGGCAGACTGCTATTTCAACAGAATATGAGTAAGCCATGGATTCCCACTTGTACTGAAATTCATTAAAATGATGAACATTAAAACAAGTAAAGTATCTGCCTTTCAGGAACCGCTTTAGAACATGAAGCAATAGCTAATTTGGAAAAACAACAACAAAGTTGTATTTGAATTTGGAGGAATGATTTGAAATATTAAATACAGAGAATTGGAATAAAATAAATCCCTATGGATATTAGCACCAGAATAAACGTGCTTTCTTTTCTAATAAGGAAAGGTCCAAGGTTCTTCTTACTAAACAAATTTGTAGGACTATAATTAGAATGCAATCAACACTTAAATATACAACACTTTTGGACCTGATAAATATCTTTATAATCACACACTGCATTTCATAATTTAGAGATCATAGGTAAGCTTGGGTCACCTTATAGCTTCTGCAATCCTAGTGCTTTCCTTTCTTCTGTCATTGGATAACCTGCCAATTAAATATGAGTAATCTAGGCCACTACAGAATACACTTCCCACTGCGCTGAGAAGTAAGAGTTTACTGTCATCAGCTGATGCATTGCACAATGCTCTCCGAACTTCCTTCATGATCTGTGGATAAAGAAAAGTAAACAATTCGACATGCATGCCGTTTCAATATCATTTCCCTAGTTTTACAAACCTTATTGATTTTGAGAGACTTAAATTTTGGGCACTATTAATACTTACATCAATTATATAAATTTATATAATTTTAATATACTTAGAATGATAACACTGAGAGTTTACAAAATATTTTATATTTGGAAGTGCTTTGTTGATGCTTACTAATTCAAAGAGTTTTTAGGACTTGGCTGTTCTTTGCTTATTCTATGGGAAATTCTAGCAAGCTTATGCTATTTGATTGCAATTTAATAGTTTCAAATATAACTTTTTTATTTTCGTCGTGTATATTCAGTGTACATCACTGTATCCTCAGTAACACGGTTATCACAACAATAGCCTATTAACCTCAACAGGTTGTAAGCAAAATCTATAAACCCCAGTTTTCAGTTCTTCAGCTACTTTGGTTTATATGACTTCAACCAGAGCAAAGCAGGACAAGAGGACATCACATACATCAACATGACAAAGATATTATTCATTTTTCTGTGGTCAGTGATATTGTTAAACTCTACAAAAGTTAGAGCAAAAAAGTCACTTGAAAGAGAGACATTTTGACTCTGATTTACAACTGGATCAAGCTATTAATTGCACCATAAATCAAACCTCATCAAAATCTGTATAGAATTGAGCGGCTGGTGGTGTAAGAAAATGGCCTTTCATCTGAGCAGAGAATTGTTGTTCTAGTGATTTTTAAAAGGAAATATTATTTCATAAACTTCTGATGGGTAACTTCTTGTTTGGTCACAATTCTGCATAGTTTGTAAGCTGGAATTGATTTCAGCCATTTCAGCTTCCCCTCTTCTCTTCAGCGATTTGCTCCTCACTTCAAGGGCCATGATTGCATCTAGTGTGACACCTCCTATGCTTAAAACATACTCATGTGTCCAAGTATTTCCTACAGACAGGGTCCCGTTGAGTCAAATTTTTCTCTTTTGTACTGGAAGATTTGCTGTTAGTGTAAATTTAGGTAAAAGATAGCAAAATGTGGGTGGGGGATTAAATACGGTTTCCATGTGAGAGAAAACCAAGGTTTTTAGCTCGTGATTATTTTTGTTCGCTACTTTCTGTTTCCAGAAATTCTTTAGATCTCTGAAGTGCCTTATTTAAGAAATGTCCCTAAACACGGAACAGAAGGTTTGTTTATACCATTCTAGGCAGCCTTTTATTAGAAATCCTGTGGCTTGTGAGACCAAGCTTGAACTTGTATATTCAAACCATGCAGTGCAATGCTACCTGCCTGCTTTCCATATGTGTTTGCACAAAAATGATCGTAGTAACGATCTGAGACCGGGCTGCTGAGACCGGGACACGAGAAAGCAGGTGGTGAACTTTTAGATGCTTCACTTTTACAAGTGCACTTCAGAACGCCTGTAATACTGAGTATGTGACAGTGGGTGGAAGTGAAGTAATTAAAAGCAGCAGAATTTGGAAGTGTATTTGAAATTCTTGTGCAGGTACAAAAATGCCATCAGCGATTTTACAAGTACTGTTTATTCTGAGAGTCCCAGAGGCTGTCTCAGCCCTCAGTTGGTAAAAACAGAGCAAAACCGCACCTCTTGTAAAGGGGAAACAAAGGAAAAAAAACCCTAAAACCTCTGTTCAAAGTTAAAAAAAGCAACTTTAGAAGGTGGTAGGTGTTAGAATAAAAGAAGTTATGTATTTTGATTTTCCTAGTTCCATGCGAATGCAAGATTGCCCTCTTAGTTTATTTTAGTGTTCTCAAAATCTGCTCTTTCTTAGGGAGGATGTGTGAAGAATATCTGAGAATACCAGTCAAACATTTGTATATACAATGAGGAGTGTTGCTTTAAATATGATGCCACGATATGCTACTCCATTCAGCAAGTTTCTTTACTGCTTCCCTCCCTCCAGTGATATTTGCATATGTACCATCTCTTTGATGTTACCACTGCTATCCTTCAAACACATCATTACCATTACAAACCTGTCTCTTTTTTATCTTACCTCTCATTGATTTGGATGGCTAAAGCCATCTACAAGTATACCAAACTTCTGAGCAGAGGTTATACTATTTGTAGGAAAACCCAATCTTGTCCTATTGCTGTTTTTTCAATGTTTTGGAGAGGGTGATATTAAAGGTCCGTTATTCGGAACTGATTTCTCAGATATAGTTGAAAAGAGAAGGCTTTGACAGTGTTTTGGATAGTATTTTTGAGCAGGAGTGGAAATTTAGTTCCACTGCTCCACTAGTTTCTAGCAAAAGAAAACAGTATCAGAAGCCAGGAAACCATAATGTATCCGTGTTTTCAGTCTCCAAAAAGTATTTTTTTAAAAAATATCTGTAAGTTAGTCATGAACTTTATCAGCAAAAGGTGCTCGGAGGCTCAGTGGAATACACCAATGCCAGCAAAGTCAATTCTCGCTCCCTTGTTTTATGCCATGATTCCTTTGCTGGCGCAGTCCAAAATTCACGTGGTCACCTTGTCGCTCAGGCTAGTTACAGCCAACCTGCTGCCCGCTGTTGCTTCCGAATGCCTTGGCATCTTGGCTTTCCTCATTGATTTATCTGGGTATGGGTATTTCTCTACAGATGTTTATATGATTATAGGAAAGCTACTAGCAATAAAACACAGATAAAAAAGATGGTTTGTCTGTAGGGTTACAGAATCGTCTGTTAAACTGCAGTACTGTAAATATAATTTTAGTTCAGAACTGCTGTCTGGTTTTAAGTACGTATTTCCATTTAATGCAGCAGTGGATTCAGTTTGCAAATATAGAGATACTATGTGTCTTTAGGTACCTTTCTTTGTCAGATTTCATATTCTTTTTCTCTCTGCCATGGTCCTTAAACCTTTCCTCATTTTGGTATAACTATGGCATTTGTCCAATTAAATTTTACTTTCTCTACTGGACCAGATCTAATAATAGTATTTGCAGGGCTCCATATCAGTATTCTCCAGTTCCATGCTTTTTTTAATTAGCTTTTTTTATGGTCTTTTAGTTAATTTTCAGTTGTGGGGATAATATTTTTATTTGCGTGCATTTGACTAAAATTTCTGAGAAAGTATTTACAAAACACTATGAACCAGTTCTTTTGCTTATGAAAATCTATTGAATTATAAATTTAGACCGAGCCTAATGCTTCACTTACTGTTTTATTGAAACCCAAATATATAATAAAATTATCACTTCCTCAACAGTTGCTTATTTTTATAATCCTGTCAAGAAAATAAATTAGTTAGTTCTGTAATAGGACACCTTATATTGCAAAATAAACATAAGATGTTTAAAAACTTCATTACACTTCTAAGAGCTTATTTTAATGCCTGTCACCGGACGTAGGAAATTTTAAAAGTCATTTGGTGCCCTTTGCTTTCAATATTGCTTACATTCTGGGGAAATCAGGAAGCTGGGAATTTATCACCATAATTATACAAAGTATCTTGAACAGACGTCTCTTGTCCATATAAATAGAAATATTAGTTTAAAACTTCTCTGAATCTCTAAGGATTCAGTGTTGATATTCTTAAAGGTAAATATTCTGTAAATATTACAGTAAATGAAAAATTTAAAGCCCTTCAGTTGTTCTTAGAACCTCTTCCACAATCGTTCCTTTTTACATAAATACACTTTTTCTTACTTACTGACTCTTTGTGCAAACAGATTCCGAGTCCTTTCTGTTTGATAAATTAAGGACTTAGGAACCTATAAGGCTGGCTTCAGGCAGAAGTACGGGCCAAAAAACCAATTTGTCTTTGTATGAGAGCAAAAATACAGATAACAGTAAACTTGTACCTGCCTTTTTTTTTTTTCTTTTTTTAAAGTCAGGAAAAGTTGTAAGTAAGGAAAAGTGAAGGCAAACCAGTGCTCCAAAATTCACCTGGTAGAAGTTCAAACCCTGTAATTCTCATGGCTAGAAATTTGAAACCCGATTATTTTGTATGAGAAGCATATTTGAGGTAGTTATATCAGTCTTCAATGAAAACATTAGCTGTTTAGGGTATGCTTTGCTTTTAATTCGGGGGAATATTAATTCCTAGCTCTGTCAATAGTGTAAAGTAAAACCAGTGGATGGATCCATTTAATCTTCAGTTTGAAACAGAATTTGGATCCTTGAAATGTGCTGAGTTAAAACAGCAACATCATCACTGGAGAAAGAACTTCAGAAGCAGCAAAAGACCCGTGAGAGAAAATGCCGTAATGGAATTTATAATGATGAAATATTTTACATATCTATTTTAAAAATTAATTTTAAAAGTAGCAAGCCGAAGCCACTGAAATAAAAACAAGCTGTGCTGTTTCATGACACTGGCTTGGAAGTTTTATAAGGTCTTGTAAAACATAAGAAAGAATTTCTATAGTGCCCTGAACATTTTGGAGAAAAAACTCAATTACTAGAGTGGCACTGAGCCAACTTCAATCAGTGCAAATGCTGCTGGAAGGAGCATCGGCACATTTCGTGCTAAAATCACCTGCACAAACCCACAGGTGTGATGTGGTTACCAAAAACATAGGATAAAGATTCAGGCAGACTTCTCTAAGCTTTTCTTTTTCTTTTCTTTTTTTTTTTTTTTTTTTTTAATAAATAAGTTCTTCATTAGTTTAATTAAATTGGCATAAATAGCAGAGGCCAATGGTTGAACAAAACTATTAAATTTCATCTGAAGATTAAGAAAAAGCACAAAGGGAAGCAGCGTTGTTTAGGGGTGAGAGTGATCTTGTATAAGCTTAATTTTATAATGATTGTGGGCAGTGCACACCTTTTCTTTTTTCCCTAACATAGATGGCCAAGAATAACCAGAGCACTTTTTAACCACACCAAGTAGGCCTGCTCTGTGTAAATTAATCATTTACTATTTGGCAAACATAATTTACTGAATGTCTAATAAAGCTTGACGTTAGTGTTTCTTTTGACAAAATGAAACACGCTTTCTTCATTTTGTAGGAATTTTGTGTTTGTACTTTTTATCCACTGGTGATAAAAGGTGGCAAAACTGAAAATGTTGTAAATGTCCCTAAAATACTCTGTCAGTTTGTCTCAGCTATGGCTGTGGGTGACAAACTGTAGGGACAAGGCATTCAACATCTTCCTCCTTTCAGTTCCTTGGATTTTTGCTGTAATTGCCAGCAAGGATGTGGAATTGCCAATACTGGAGGTGCTGGATTTTGTGGTGTGAATGATCATGGGCTGCAGCCTGGACCGAGGCCAAAGAAGTCGTTTCATGTTTGCCAGCAAGCAGCCTTCAGAGAGCAAGAGCTTTCAATTGCTCTCAGCCTGGATGAGTTTTAAACAGACAATCGCAATGTGGAGAACTCATTACCTTGATTAATTCCTGCCCATCCAGATCCTGGTCAGTAGTGTAGTTTTCTAAAATGTATTTCCTGGTTTTCGAGTGAGCTTCAATAAAGGTTCTAGAAATAGTCTATGCCGGTGATGCAAGAAGAGGACTACTATTATATGATTATCATTTATTCTTCCACAGAGGTGGGTTCCCGGCATATTGAAAATTTTCAAAGAATGAAACAGATTGGCTTGGCAGACCTGAAGAGCCTGAATTAATTCACTGCTTAGAGCATTTGAACACTGCTGATGTGGAACAGCACAGCCAGCAACGTAAAGGTATGTCTGTTCAGCCTGAACGTAGTTAAGTCCTTGATTTCATACTTTTTCAGGCCCTTGAGCTCTTTGTTTAAATTACCTGCAGTGTCAATTAGCAGTAATTAATACATGGATGGAATGATGGATTTGATGCAATCTAATGCGTTTTAAGGAGTTAGTATTAAAAGCAGGTGTTTGGTGTTCTGTGTTAATTACCAAGATAGTCCTTTAAAATATTATATAGTTTAAAAACTAGGAGTCATAAATGTATGTTTTAACTATTTAGTATCATTCTGTGTGTTAATGTCCATGTGCAGGTGTGCATTTGGGAAGGGGAGTCAAATTTAGAGCCCATCATACCTGCCAGTGGTTTTATCTGAAGCTCATTTTAAGTAATTAATTTCAAAATTATTTGGTTTCTTATTGAATAAAATAATTGCTCAAAGCTACAATCTACTTTTCCCTCAAATGTTACTCAAACTGATATTTCACACACTCTTATCTCAAAGTTACTGTATAAATCAGAGCTGCACTGGGGTGTCTGGAGGGTAGCGAAGGTAGAGATCTGCCACGCTGTGGGCAGCTCGCGGAGGAACTCAGCCTGCAGAATGCTCAGACAGGCAAAATTGGTGCTGGGAGGCAGCTCCTGTTGTTTCCTCTCTCATCTATGGTAACCCCTTTCCATCAGGCCGTTGCTGCCCACGTGGAACAGGGCTCCAGCATGTCCTCTGCTCTCCAGGACATGCATCCTGATGCAGGCATTCACTGACACCCCGTTTGTTCAAGGCAGGCCAGGGCACTGCTGCCCACTATGATGGGATCACCGGGAATGGAAGGGAGAGCTGCTCAGCCCTTCCAGTGACCAGTATATGTGCTGGAGTAGTACAAGCTACAAGTCCAAGTGTATAACATTTGGAACCAGGGAACTCATTAATATCATTTATATGTTGTACGACTTTATGAAATTCAGCTGAGAATAGAGCCCTTAATTGGTTAAGATTTCATAAATAAGGACTCATAAAGTGATTCAGAGGAAAAGCAATTGGCGATCAATGTATACTTTTAGAATTACTGTTTCAGGATACAGCCTGAAATTCCTCTGTATACAACCACTGGAGCACTATTTAAATTAATAAAATGAAAAGAGACCAGATTTGTCCTAAGGATAGTAAATATCAGTAACTTCAACATGGGAATAACTGCATCACACAACTCCCTGCTGGAAATACCAATTCTGCCATTCCTTTCTTTACTTCTAATTTTCGGTTTCAGACATGTAAATTAAAAATTAATTTCCATTGCATTCTTTTTGATAGGAATCCCAAGTGTGAAGAAGTTAGATACATCTGAACTCCATATTTCCTTTTTACGATAATCAGTTAGGATAAAAATACATAAAATCCCGTTCAAGTGCAGTGTTTCCAAGATAACCCACACATTAGGATGGCTTTCTTTGGCTTTTATGGCTACATGCTTACCTCTGGGGTCAGTGCATTGTTATCTGAAGTCTGGCTCGACAGCAAAATATGTGTAAAACCATCTTCTTTCCGGACTACAATGTCCCTGAACCGGCAGTTACTTTCATTTTGACGCACGCTGTATCTTAGTCTCTTATCGAAGACATAATCTTTCTCCCCATCTAGTTTCCTTTTCACAGTGCTGTGTAGATTCAAGCTTCCATTGGCCAGAGGAGAACCTTTCAGATGGAAAGAATCAAAGCATAGTTATGTCTATACCTTCAAAGAAATGGAGTGATAGTTTCTATTAGCTTAAACATAGCTTGGTATTTACAATAGCCTTTATGTGATAAATTTGATAAATCAAAAATATGCCTGGCTAGTCAAATGTGGCCTCAAGCCATTCTTATTATTCTGTGTTCCAACATGCAGTACTTTTTGTTCTCTGATCAGACAACTTCTAGATCCAGTGAATTGTAGTATGTAGGACTGGTACTTTTAATGAGATTCAGTTCTGCTTTGAGGATGAAAGCAATTGTATCATAGTCTTTCCTATGAATTTGGGGTGATCCCTGAATTCATAGGAGAATCCTAATTCAGCTTTGGAAAAACTTGACATGACAGGTTTAGTCCAAATCCCATCTTTCAAAGTTACATTTTCTTCCTTTTATGGTGACCAAAACGTCATTATCAGTTTCAAGTGACAATCTGAATAGACACTTGTTGCTCATCTCTATGTGACAGTAAGTTTGGGGAGTTCTTACTAAGCCGACACAACGGGCATGCTCTTCCGTGTGTCCTTGTGGTTAGCGTCAGAAGTAGCAGTTAGCCATCCTCTTTGCTCTGATCCCAAGCTTCTGCTCATTACGTTTTACAGTAACAATAATTACTGACTTTTGAAAAACAGATATGATGTTAATATTGGACTTTGTACATAGAAAATAGTAATGCTGATGCCATTTTGGAGGGTATCCAGCAGTAGGAAAAAAAAGGGAACTGTGACAAGAAAGATACAGTTCCTCCTTAAAAATAAATGAGAGTAATAGTACGTCAATTTTAAAAGACAGTTTATTCTGACTTACACTCTGTATGAACTGTAAACTATTACTTTGCTTATGTTTACAGTTCCTCTGTAATAGGCAATATATTATGATTGGTAACCACGCTGAGCCAGAATGTTGAAAATATCTTTACGAGATTTGTATGCAATAGTCCTCTTCTAATTACAGATGTTTCACACTATTGCCATTAAAAGTAAAGCAGAGACGGGTTGTTGAGGAACAGAGATTAAAGTCACTCTGTTCACTGAAATAGTTTCCAAATCTATTTTTTGTTTAAACAGACATGAGCCCCCAATACGCCATATTTAAGAAAGGCCAATAAAGAGCTGAATGAAAACACCTTTGTTCTGTTCTTTACTCCTGCCAAAGCTGACCCATTCCAGCTTCTGGTATCAAATAGCCAGGAATTTTTAAAGGGCAGATGACATGAATATTAGAACATAGATTTAAATTTTATAGTTTAAATGACCACTATCCAATTAAAGATGCTCTGTTGGAATAGAACAGACTGGTGAATTCGTAACAGATTACTCTCTAAACCAAAATCATTTACCCTCATTTTGGATTAGCGATGTTTCAACTTGATGTTTATGTAGGTAACTGAAGTGCCTGATACCTCTCAGTTGGCAACGGCCTGTGGAATCGTTCACAGTGTGTGAAATGCCTGTATAGACACTGCAGTTACGATATGGGACGTTAAAATATATAGAGTGCTTAATAGTATTTAACTGGTACGTCATTTGGCTTCATCATGTAATGTGTGCATGTGTGTGCACATATAGCTACACACAGAAACTCATGTTTGTTAAAAAGCCTGCTATTTCAGTCAATCATAAAACTTTTTCATTGTTGAATTAAGAGATACCATCTAAAGTATCACCTATATTATACTGAATAGAGGAGTTAACTGGTGCAATGCAAACATTGATAAATTACATTAGATCATCAATTTGAAGAAAAGGCATTTGAAGCCAGCAGAATCTGAAATTTGTTTTCTTGACAAGAATTATCTACAAGTGTAGAAATCACCATGTGCTTGAATTTTAAAAATTATGAATAATTTCTGATGGCATGTTTCTTCTTTTTCATAAGGTTTTGCTACTGCATATATTTTGACATGTATTCTTACAAACAAAAATCAACTTGTGAAATTACTAATGGAATTAGTAATTAACATTGGGAATAATATACTGAAACAAATTAATTATTTGACTGAGGCAGACTTTTAAATATTGCATTTTTATCTGTTCAGTCCTTAACTGTGTTGCTTGACCCAGCAATAAGCTACTAAGATGTGAAGAGTTAAATCTCCGAAAAAAGTGTAAAGAACTTAAAAAATCAGAGGCACAAATGAACATTGAATGGAAGATGTGTCAGACTAACTGTACTGATTATCTACTTAGTGTTGAAGATTATGCCATGTCGATTTTAAATACAGATGGTAAGAGAATGGTAGAAGATTAACTCACACAGATAATCCAGCTCAACAAAAAGCCTCATAGTAGTAATTTTATTTTAATTTTTTGTTGGATTCTTCTTTGTTTGAGTAATGTATTCTGTTTGTAAATTAAATATATGATGTAAGAAACGATAGCTCTTATAAAAATATTTTAACTGCAAGCCAGCTGACAGAAATTTTACCAGAGGAAAGAAAGATCTAAATTAAGTATGAGAGAAACATAAATGGATAAGTGTCATTTCCAGGAATGGATGATTAACAGAACAACATATAGTGAGCAAATAGTTTTTTCAGAGTATACTGTGCATCCCCGTAATCTTGCTTAATCTGATAAAGTGGAGAAAATGATCAGCAAAATCCAAAGGCAACACTCAAGTGAAACCAGGCCAATTTAGCATGTCCATTGCATGGCGGTGATGGAGCTACTGAAGGTTTGCTCTGGAGCCAGTGAAGCATCCAGCCTGTCTCTGCATGAGGGTTAACAGTTAGCACCCACTTAGCGCACACAAGGGTAACAGTGCCTTAATATGTCATGATGAAAAATCACTGTGACATAGGAAAAAAGAGGCATTCTCAAAGCAATCTATACTGCATGTGAAACAAATTAAGGATGTCACAAATTAACTAAGGAAGCTTTAGGTACCTCTAAATGTGGTTTACTGGCTTAGTAATGAGTATTTGATGCTCAGTCTAAGTACAAAAAGAAAACAGAACAGGAGAAAATATTCTTTCCTTTAGTGGGAGTTTAATCTAATTATTACCTTGTTTGTCATCAGCAGTAGAACTTGTGGAATACCTAAAAACAGACTGACGTTTAGAAGAAGTTTCAATATTTTTTAAGGCAACTTCAGATATTCCCAGACCACTGGTGCATCTAGTAATCCTTCTTCAAGAATGGCAGCAAAAGATGCTATCTAAGGAGAAAATGCAAGCTTGGCCGTTTTCTGCAGTCCTCTGCCCTTGTATCATCCCTCAGTGTTGTATAACAACATGAGAGGATTCATCCTTCCTGCTTCCTTCAGTATTTGCTCGTGGACCTTTTCATGGGTTTCTCTAATCTCCTTTTGAGCCTGTTGATGCTGTCTGTCTCCACAGCCTCCTGTGGTATGAGTTTGAGAAGTTGTGTAGCCACTACACAGAGAAGAATTTTCTTTCATCTGTGCTTTTATCTGATGTTCTACCAGTTTCAGTGAGTGGTCTCTAGTTCTGCTGTTGAGGGATTTAGTGAACAACAGTTCCGCATTTACTTTATCTGAGGCCTTGATGATGTTGTAAACTTTGATCATATTCACCCTCAGCCTCCCCCTGTCCTAACTGAAGCCTCTTTTATTCTTGTAATCCTCTTCATTTTAGTTGCCTGTCCCTGTATCTTCTCTAGTACTCCACTACTGTCAAAGGGGACAACATGTAAGGATGTTCCTGCTGCTGCTGTTGGTACTAGAAAGTGCCTCAAGACTCCAGACTGAGCCCGAGACTGGGGCTCCATTATACTAGGCATTGCAGAAAACACATTAGAAATTTATAGTCTAAAAAGATGAGGCAGACAAAGAGTAGGAGAAGAGAGAACAGATCGCAATGAGCCTCAGATCACTCAATGCTTTAGAGGACTCGGATCTCCCCATCAACTTCCACTGCTTCTACTCCCTAGAAGAGGACACTCAAGCCACTGTCATTTTCAGCTACACCTTTTCTTAGTGCTTCATCACAGTCAGTTTAATGGAGCAGTCTTTGTGCCACCACCCTACGTAGCGATCCTTGTGCTGGTACTAGCATCCAGGTAGGTAGCCATACCCTGAACTGACCTGGTGGACTGTTCTGGCTGGAAACTCTGGCAAAACTGTGGTTAATTTTCAAACAGATCAGGCTCACCTTGTAGCCTCAAGAGTACTAAAACTAGTGCAGGGAAAGGGATGGGAATAGCGATCAGGATATCATAGGATGGAGGGCTGGACTGTTCCTTTTGGTGGCAGCATGCATTTATGCTGAATGAAAACGATCATGGAGCTAGGGCTTTAATTTTTCTAGGTGAAATAAACCCTGCACCCTTACCCTCCCTGGTAAAACAGCTTGGCATTCCTCAGTCTTCCCAATAGCCTCTCTCTGTCTCCTTTCTGTCTTTCTTGTGGGTAATGGTTAATACTGTGCATACTTAAAAGCAGTGTTCTGTTGATAATTTACTAATAATTTCAGAATTCTCCAGCTAAGGGAGCATCTGTAAGATATCTAAAAGCAATGAGTTTTTATCCAAATGGAGAAAGCAAACATATTTGGTTGTCTTTTACTGCCAGTATTGCTCCAGAATAAATAAAACAGAACAAGCTAAAAAAACAAGAGGAAGCAGTGACTAAGTTCATAGAGAGTATTTAAATTAAGGGCACCATGAAACTACAAAGATTTTCGTAATGGAGAAAAACAGTGGTTAGTGATACATGACAAGCAAAAATTCTTCAGCAGATGTGAAAGAGAAAATTAAAAGGGGATGTTTTTTGATGCTGTCAAGAAACGTGACAAAACAATCACTCTCAATTACAATATCTGGAGAGAAACAGAAATGTGATAACAGAAGACAATAAATATCATCAGAAAGAACGGTATTGTTAGCTCCTGGGAGCATCAGTGGATGTTCTGTGGAGGGTTTTTTTCATATTTTCCAATTTGCAGACCCTTAAATAACTGTCAGTAAAGATGACTCTGCTCTCCTTATGACGGGATGTGTAGAAGGTAGAAGAGAGGTTTTGGTAAGAAAGGTCTGTCCCAACTTCAGCAGGTTCCAGACCTCTGCTAGGGTGCATATATGATTTTGTGCATACATCTGTAGGTATACAGTCATCTTTCTGGGGTAAATAGCTTACTGGTGAGAGTTTTATCTGTAGGTTGAGCAGGAAACACTTGTACCCCAGTGGATGTATACACAAAACCAAACACAGACTGGCAGAAGCCCATTCAAGGAGTCATCAAAAACTAGTTTTCAAATAGCTATTCTTTCTTTCAACAGAACTGGCATACTGCAGACAAACAAAATAGATATTTTTTGGTTAGTTATAGTTTATAAATTACTAATTATATTGCTTGGTTCAATACACAGGTAGTTAAACATTATTATAATGTGAAAGAATACTGGTTCAAGTTGATGGGTTTTGGAGGTCTTCAACCATAGGCCAACACTGGTAGCAGAGCTGGGCCTGCAGCTGGGTTTTCAAATTGTGGGGAATTTTTGAGTTTTCCTAATCTAGGCTTCATCTCTAGACCAATTTAAAATTTCTATATACATTTTCGGTGCACTCTTACACTTAGCTGTGAAATGAGTCTGACATTCATTTGGGCTTCATATAGGCAATCTCAAAACCGACACAAATGGCTGCTTCATCGGATTCTGCACTGGGCTGCCTGGGAACCACAGCTTCTGGGAGCCAACCCAGGTCCTCCAGGCTCCCTCTTTGTTCTACACATAGTGCCTGGGAGCCCTGCGAGCGTTGATGGGGCATTCTGGGCTTTCGACTTCCAGACTCTGTGGCAGACTGCCTGAAACCTCTGGCATAGCTGGCTGCCTCAAAGCTAAACGTGGGAGTCCTGCCAAGCAGACTGCCACATTGCTCCCGATCTCAAGGGACAAAGCCTTGGGACCTTGGCTCAGATTTGGAGAAAGTTTTGAAACTCAAGATATTTGGAACAAAACTTCTGTTATTCAACAAATTGGCATTTTTTTTCTCTGAAACTTTCTTCATTTGTAATTTGTAAAATTTCAGACCAGTTTTAGTGGATGTCTGTCTTGTTTAAAACGAGTTTGTGACACTAACAGGACACATGGCAGAATCACACTGGCATCTTCTCTGCTGCTTCCCTGTGAGTGTGAATACTGAGGGAGTTCAGTAAATTGTTGGTCTTGTTGAAGAGTAGTGCAAGTTTCTTCAAGCTGAGATGGCAGAACACCTGGCTGCTTAGGCAAAGCAGCTTTCTACTGAAATAGAGCTCTCTTACAGGGATTATTCAAACAGGGGCTGGTGGATGCCATTCATTAGCTCTGTGGGGACAAATGAAAGGCTCATTTGACCTTACAGTTCTTTGTGGCCCTTTAGTTCTTCATTAAAAAAAAGACTCTAAAATGTGGGAATGAATGCATTTTCAAGATGCATTTTGTATCAGAACTTTCCCAATGAATAACATTAAAAAAAATGATAAAAAAAAACTTCATTAGAAACAGTAAGAAAGCAAAGAAAAATAACTTTATACACATCTGTAATTAGCTATGCAAGTCTTTTTAAAGAAGCAGATAACTTTTTAAACAGTCTTATATGAGCTCAAACTCATCAAAATACAAAAGCTTGCACTTTCAATTTTAAGTGTCATCATTGACATCATGTGGGCTACTTATGCATTTAAAGCCGACCACACATTTTGGGAGTCTTTAACAAGATATTTGATGCCTGGATTGAAAGATCCCAGCAGTCACAGGTGTCACCAGTAAGACTAAGCAAGGACAGTTCTACTTCCCAAATCAAGTAGCATTTGCTCGGTTGCCAGTAAGGTGGAAGATGGAAAACGGGGTGATATAATTTATGTTGACTTTTGAAAAGTTTTTGGCCGGGCAATTCACAAGAAGCTGTTAAGGAAATGAGTGCTATCATGGGCTATGGAAAGTGGCTAATAAAAATAAATAATTGGAACAAATGGTTACTTTTCATCATGTCGAATGATTAGTAGTTGGCTGCCCCAGGGACCTGCAGAAGGATTAGTTTATTTAATGTACGTATTAATGAACTGGGTAGAGAAGTATGAGAGGAAAATTTGAAGGGAATACAAAATAAGTGGAGTAAAAACTAGGAAAGAATTTGAAGAGCTTCACTGAGTCATAAGAAAAGGGTGAATTGGCAACAGTAAAGCAGATTAAATGCATAATGAAAAGAATCATACATATAGCTGTGTTCTAAATTAACTGTAACCAGCAAGGAAAAAAAAAAACCAAAACTAAGAGCAACTCAATGAAAACCTTTATACAGTGTATAACAGCAGAAATAGTAATTCTCAAAAGGTTGTATCGCCACTCTATCAGTAAGCAGTAGGAAATCATTTGGAACAGCTCCTGCTGTTTTTAAAAGGTATTAAAAAAACCCCACACACCAAAGGCACAAGAGGATACTGAAAACTACCAGGAATCTGGAAAGACTTCCACGTGGTAGGAAGGCTGAAAAGGCTGGGGCTGCCCACAGATTGACAGGACATTTTCCTCTTTATCCTTTCATATAAGGACAAGAGCTTATTCAATGAAAGTAAAGGTTAAAAAAACCCAAACAAAACCCCAAACCCCAAAACCTGACCAAATAAAATATGCATCTTATAGTTAGCTCCTGGAAATTACTGCCACAAAGCACCACCAAGGCTTTAAATTTGGCAGGATTAAAAAAAAAAAAGATTGGACACATAGATAATGAGAAGCTACTTAGTTGCATTAAACTGCGTAGTATTTATAGAGAACATAAACCTTTACTCTTTGAGAACTAAGCCAGTCAGTAACTATGAAGATTAGAAAGAAATTTCTCTTATTTCTTCTCGTTCACTTCAAGGCTGTTTGTACCTTCCCATAAAGTATGCCTTTCGACTTCTGGTGTATCCAGTCAATGTCAGAGACAAGGACCTGGGAGTTCTGAGTACTCCTGAAGATGATGAGCAATAATACCGAGGAACTTGAATGTTATTCAGCCATACTTACCAGGATACTTTAGCAAGAGTGCTATTAATTCTGTTTCTAAAATAATCCTGATCTTTCCAGACCATTGGGTCTGTGCACACATAACTGAGAAGTGCTTTGCTACTTGGTGATACACAAAACCAAAGTTGCAGTATTATACATACCTCCGTTGTCATTCCTACTCCGTGCCTTGTCATCATTTCCCCACAAGAACTTTACACTGCAAAGGCATGTAAGAAAGCCCACGTTGCTTCACGTCACTCCGTGGGACACGGAAGTAGAGAAGCCAACTGATAAAAAAATGGTATAATATACGGAGAGAGAGCATGAAACATGTTTATGTGCTTCTCACCATATCACTTGTGTAGCATGACAATGATTTTTCCACGCATGGACTCTCTGTTTGCAGTCGCTGCAATTACCACCCCCCCACCTCAAAAGACTGTAGTTTAAATCACATACCAATTCCATTCACAACAGGTGAATCATTACTAACTTCCAACACGCTGGGCAAATTTTGTTCTCCTTCATGATCATTTAAATCCATATTTTGCTGTTGTGAGCCATTCCCAAAATGTCTAGAATCTTTTTCATGACTGCCATCTCCATTCTGCAGACCATTATGTGGCTTTTTCAGTGGCATGATCTGTAAACCGCTGGGAGTAGTTCGGTAAGTCACAGTTTTAGCAGCCCTGTCATTAGCAGATGCTGGCTTTGCTGCATATCCTCTTTTCTGTTTTTGAAGAGATGGATTAATTCTCTTCCTTTTGTGTGTTGACCCTTTAGACTTCCCAGATTCAGAAGGCCTATGTGACATTTTCTCAACAGATGACCCTCGGCTTTCCCGTAAAAATTTTGGAGCGCTGGCCTGTTTCCCATGTCTTGATCGTTTTTCTCTAGTGACATGTAGTCCATTGAACTCATCGATAAATTCCTCACAATGTAGTAGATGATGTTCAGGTTCCCAGGTGTCTTCGTTGCTTCCGTAGCCTTTCCACCTGATGAGATATTCCCATTTGCCCTTCTTGTTCTTCCTTTTGTCTACAATCCTCTCCACCTAAAAGAAAAAACAAAAAAGTATCATATTAGAGAGAAAAATAGTTTGGTCATGAAAACGATGTTCTTCATTTACAGCTCGGAAGGCCTCCTTGACATTGTAAAGGCACCTTAGTATTCATGAGATTCTCCTGAAATGTAGTGCCTAAAACATGAACTGACTCTGACACGGAAAGCCACCCAGGCTAGCCAAAATGTAGCAACCTATTTTACAGATTTAAATTTACCTTATTTTCATAGGATATGGTCCAACACTTATATTCCCATTGGATCCTATATAGACCATGCTGACTGCTGATGAGAACCTACTTGGTGCGTGTATAAACCGCTTGACGTAATGTTTAGGAATCAGTGTTACATGTTCCCGTTCGACAAAGAGTTCCCATGAACAGACCTGGCAATACAGGAGAGGAATGCAGTAGCCCCGGTGGTATTTTGACAGCAAGGCTGTTTCCCCTTCTGAAAACATTAACAAGAGACATAGACACCTGATCAAATCTGATCTGGGAACCTGCAATAGCCACAATGTGAAGAAACAGGAGAGAGACTGAATATCATTAATGAAAGCATGATTTCGTTGAAAATCTGGTTGTAAAATGAGACACTTATTGTTACATTCCTCAGCTACCTCTTGTCTGAAAGAGCTAAATAAAGCATGTTTTGCTATATTGTCAGTTACTGATCATTCTGTTGAGTCCACACATGCGTTATGTCCCTATAAACATCTCTATACTTCTTCATGTCTTGAAACTATCTTGAACAGAGAACTGATTATAACCAATGACAATATTTTACACCAAAGGTTTATTTGCAGTAGTGTACATCCACATTGCTACTTCCAACTTATAAAAGTTTGTATTTTTATGAATGCTATACTTAAGTAAATACACAAAATTCACGAGTGCACCAATTTAAAAAAAAAAAAAAAGGCAAATGAAAGGCATAAAGGCAGGATTCTTACGTAGAAGTCATGAATTTCATGAACCTATGCTAGAGAATGACAGTTGAAGGAACATTTCTGCACCAAGGGATAAGGGACTCTGTTGGGACCGCAAGCTGAAGGTGAATTAACAGTATCATGCTGTTGTGGAAAATGGGCTGTGCAACTGAAGAAATCTTTGTGCTATCTCAGCACTGGCAAGATCTCAACTAGAGGGGGAGTGCGTATGGAAACCCAAGCACAATCAGTGGGCAGCAAGTCATGGGTTTAAATTGCATCAATTGAAATTTAGATCAAGTCATTAGGAAAAATGTTGTAACAGTAGTAAGAATTAAGCATTAGAATAGGTAACATTGGGAAGGTATGGAGGGTCTTTAGAACAAACAGGTTTTGTTAGACGAACATCTGCCATGAAAGGTCACTGCTGGAAAATCGGGTTATGATGAGAAAGCCTTTTGAAGTCTCTCCCAAGTTTTATTTTCCGATTCTTTAATTTTTCTATCTTTTAAAAATGTGGCTTATGAGGGATAAAGATGCCACTAATGAAAAAAAAAAATCATCATCATTAACCAAAAGCACTATTGTTAATTTAGAAAAATTTAAGTGGCTAGCTAATATAATAGTTTTCATTGCTCTTCAAAGAAAAATCATCTCATGTGAAGAACAACAGTGGAATCTGTGTGGAGAATTTAACCTTGAAGAAGGGCAATCACAGCAGTGTAAGTAATTGTTCTTTTTAGGTCCCCTGTTAGAGCAAACCAGTGGATTAATTCTGTCTGTTCACTGGCTGGAACTGTACATTCATAGAAATCTTTGGGTTCCCCAAAGGAGTCTAAATGTAATTAGCAACTAAACATTATACTTCTATCTCAATTCATTTACATGGGAACTGTGCTAAGAGATCTGCGTCTGAGTCATAGCGGACAGCTTTCCTCCACCTCCAGGGCACTCAACTGCAGCAGCCCAAACAGCTCATTCCTGTGCTCTGTCTTACCAAATATCTGCATAGAACCACCACAGAAACAGAGCAAGGCATCCTCTTGACTCTGAATTGAGCACAGTCCCCTTCAGGATTGCTCAGTGTGGCAAAACAATTAACTGAAGCTCAGTCTCGGCAAGTTTGAGATCGTTTGTCTGAAGAGGAAAAGTCCTCACAAAAAAAAATGAACTGGCATTTTTTTTTGTCCTCATTTGGGATGTGTGGCTTTCAATTGTCAAACTAATAGACTTATTATGATCTTGTTGACTTCACAGAGGGCAGCTGTCCAAATTATCCCTGGCTTTAAAATACTTCTCATCCTCCTATCTGAGACTAGCCAGAAAGACTGTACATCAGACTGTGGAACTCTTTAGTGGCCTGTGGTTGTCTGTGGATTTGTTACTTTAATTACTGCAGCTCACTATACCAAGCAGCAAAACATACATATATACATATATATATGTCCTGCAGAAAAAATTAAATTGCTGCTAAACTCAGTAGACCACAGCTATCATTACTGTAGAGAATCTGGTTCAGAGCTATTCTGTCTGTACTAGCTAAACAATACATGCATTCCCCTCCCTTTTTAATTCAGGAATTTGGACCTGGAACATAAACTCTGTGTCAGGTTGATGCTACCTCAGAGTAGCTTCTTTCTTTCCAGGGATTACACCAGCTGCATTCCCCGACTTGCTCACTGCAGGAAGAACCTCAGAAAGGACAGGCAAATACCTTGCCATTTTCAGAACTGCATACAAAACCCATCTCTTCAACCTCACCTTTTTTTCACTCATGCACATCTTTAAATTTAACTATACCGATTTCTCATTTTCACATTGTTGCTCTACTACAAGGAGGAAAAGTGAAGGGAAGAGGTTTCTTGGAGAGCATTTTTTAATATGGAAAACACTCAAGTATTTTGGTGATGAGGCATTATGCATTTCAATTAAGAGGATAAAAGGAGAAAACATGAGTGGTCTTTGTTCCTGGGAAACAAAATACTGGCAATGGAGAATGTGATTAACCAGCTCAACACATCATGAAGGGAGAATAAAAGTATTTATGAAATTGGGTCAAATTTAATAAATGGTTTCAGAAAAAAAAATTCAGAAAGCAAATATATTTGGGAAAGACTAAGCATTTCATTACAGCGCTTTCAGAACAAAACTATCAACGTTTCACTTCCAATTTAACTAACAAAACTAAAACAAAGAGGGACTAAATAAACTGAAGACAAAATGTTTTGTTTCTGGTCAACCCCCTTCTCAGTTTATTGTTTTCCTGGGGAGAAAATGAAAAAAATGTGGGTTGATCCAAAATTAGTTGTTTTCCTTGAGTTTTTTGGTTCAGCCATCATACCCACTGGCTTGACTAATGATGCATAAAAAGTCTGAGTAGATATTTGCCACGTCCTCATTACTGCCTCATTGTTCATTACTGAATGCATTTGAGGGTAGCATCGAACATATTTGACCTCTCAACATGGTCCCTTTTCTTTCTCGGGGCTTTGAGTTCTTCATTGATATTTATCCCCTTCAGAGTGCCACTGTGCTCCTTCACTGCATACAGTGAAGTGCTTCAGTGTGGGCATAAATATCAGGTTTTTACCCGCACCTGGTACTGACTCTCCCATTTTCCTTCTATGCACAGTCCGCAGTAATAACAATCATCATCACTATTTTGTTTTTTTAATGATGTGTATTTGTTTTAACAGGTAGTATATAAAGTAATAATCTTTCTGCATTTACTTAAGGCTACACAAATTCATTTGAGTTTTCTTAATGAGAAATAATTCAGTGACAGCTAGTGATTAATAGAAATAATACTTCCATTCCTTCCCTAGAATAAGCAATACACAGTTCTGAGAATATGCCGAAAATATCTATGGCTTGAATGTCTGATTTTCCATTTTCCCCCTCAGTTCTGTCTTTAATGAGAACTGAACAACATCTTCCCAAAAGTGACCTTGGTAGTTACAGTTTGCCAAATCCTTGAATTCACTATATTTGGTTTGGGAAACTAAGTAATTAAATTCAATAAAAGTGAAACGACTGCAAAGTTTGCAGGGGTATCACAGTTAAGAGAGTGCTAGAATTGATGTATACCATTACTTGCCTGGACTCTCTCTCTTCCTGCCCCTCCTGGCTAATTGTGGATGAATTGAGGTGCTGATATGTTACCATATACATGTGTTTAAAGAGAACAAATAGAATGAGACCACGGCATCTGTGCAAATGCATTTGCAACACACTTTTTAGCTTCCAACTAGCCTTAAACCTAGCTCTATACACAGCTGCACAAACTAGGATGAAAGTCATAAATAAAAGCCTTTTAAAAAAATTTGGTATTCTAAACTTAATGTGAAACAACAAAAATACTAATCAATTATGGTACAAATACGTAGAGCTTCATAAACTTAGTGTTGTGACCTGGCGATCAAGTGCTTATATATGCATAGTACAACACACACACATCTTCCTTCACGAAGATAAAGGGTCAAAATCGCTCATTTACCAGTGCAGTGTTATTGTCCACTTATCAAAAAAAAAAAAAATCTAGGCTAAGTTGAAAAAGGGTAATTCCTATTGAATTATTTCTACAGATATAACTGTAAAGTCGGAGCACAGTATACTCCTCTCGGTTCACCAGAGCTCTACAGAGCATAAATAAAAATCCTTATGTTCCCAGAAAACACCTTCCAGGAGAACAGTAAACTTCCAGAAAGGTTGGGAAGATTGCGTATCTACTTACTGATTTCCAAAATAAGTACATGTCCTCTCTTCTAGCCATGCATATCTCTGTAAACAATTTAAACTGTAAACTGTGATGCTCGGACGGTCTCTGTTAGTGCATGGTACAGAGCAGCAGACCCATTTCATGCCATACACTAGAAAAACTTGTGTTACAGGACTTGTACTGTTTTATCTGTTTTTTTCATTGGAGGTCTTTGTCCCATGTTGTGCCTCAGGGTGTTGGAAGGGTATTTGAAGAACGTGCCAAGGAAAGAAAGGCAGTAAGATTTCTAAGAGAGATAAAGGCCATCTGATTCAACATGTTTGTCTTTTAAAAATTCATTATTGCC